GAAGAGACAGGAGCAGAGAGAGGGCGTTTATTTTACTTCTTTAAAGGGAGGAAAGGGCCAGGTGCCCTCTGATGGCACAAGGCACCCCAGATAGAGGGGCTGTTCCTTTATTAGGGTGCTAGCGAGTAAATGGCAGCTGTGGCAACAGCATAAAGAGGGAGGAGGAACCTGGAATTCACACAGAAGTTTCCCAGATCCCAGAGGCTGTGCTTAGAGCTATGGCTGGTCTGCCCTTCAGCTGCAGGTGTCCCAGGGAGTGGTCTTTCCCAGGATCTTTATAAGCCGGGAACACATTCTTACAGTGAAGTTACAGAGAATTCCAAAGGCGGGCAGATTGGGTTTGAAACCAGAAACTTTCTGCCTGCGATTTGCCTGGATCCTTAAACCCTCAGTGAGGAGGGGGGAGGGGAAGGGCAGCCTGCTCTCTCAACCCTCCCCGTCTCCCCATCTGAAGGGAGAGGCAGCTTGAGTTAGGGAAGCAGGTGGATGGGGGTGTCAGATACAGAGCCAGGTATCCATTCATGGTTAGACCCCTGTTAAGGTCCCACCCAACACAGTGAGAAGGAAATTTTACTTTATGTATTTTTCAAGGGATAAAAATGTTCTGGTTGTTAATTTTGGTCTTTGAAGTCTTTGTGTTCTGGGAATGCATTTTTTTGGGGGGGGATCTATTTTTTAAAATTACATTTTATTGATTTTTTACAGAGAGGAAGGGAGAGGGATAGAGTTAGAAACATGGATGAGAGAACACCGATCATCTGCCTCCTGCACACTCCCTACCGGGGATGTGCCTGTAACCAAGGTACATGCCCTTGCCTGGAATCGATCCTGTGACCCTTGAGTCCGCAGGCCGATGCTCTATCCACTAAGCCAAACCGGTTAGGGCTCATATTCATTCTTAAGGATTCTTTCTGAGGTTTTTGCTAGTTGAGTCTGTACTTTATTCATTTCCATATTCTCATTCTGTCTAGTTCAGTGCCTCTGCTGCACAACCCGCTCCGGCAGCGACAGCGTCTCAGTCTCTGGCACAGGCACCAGCTGAGGCTGTGGCTAGGATCCCGCCCTCGCCCCCGCTGCGCTGCGGGGCCCAGCCCGGACAGGCCTCCGCCACTTCTCGGGGGAATGCACTTTTAACGGAATATTTTGACTTTAGTAGTCCCCATAACCTAGTTAATGGGACACTGATATTAATGTAGAATGTCTCTTGTTAGTTTTCCTTATATTTGGGAAACAAAACAATTTTAAAATCAACAATATTTAAAACAGAGCTATTAGAATACTAGTGGCCTGGTGCAGGGATTCTTGCATATGGAAAGGAAATTAATTAGGAGAAAGATTTGTGTGGTAATTACATTACTGCAAAAAGTTACATGTCAAGCCCTAACCGGTATGGCTCATTGAGTAGAGCATCAGCCTGCAGACTGAAAGGTCCCAGGTTCGATTTCGGTCAAGGGCGTGTACCTTGGTTGTGGGCATATGCCAGTAGGAGGTGTGCAGGAGGCAGCTGATCGGTGTCTCTCTCTCATTGATGTTTCTCTCTATCCCTCTCCCTTCCTCTCTGTAAAAAATCAATAAAATATATTTAAAAAAATGGATTCCCCCCAAAAAATGCATTCCCAGAACACAAAGACTTCAAAGACCAAAAATAAAAATATATTTTAAAAAATTATGTCAAAATAGTTTATATAGTATAGTGTTATATAATTAAAACACCCGTGCGATAGGCGCCAGCGAGAGCTTTATATGTATCACATGTGCAAAAGTCTACGTTTATTTTTAAGCTGTCAGTGTGGCAGACCAGCTGGTCGGTCACTTAGCCTTTTACATAACTATTATCAGTTTACTTAGTCCCATCACCATTTCTGTTTGAGTATTTTCCACTATTTTTATGAATATAGGTATTCCTTTGAGTTTTATAAATCTCTATTTACTTTAAAGATATGGCCTGTTCAGAAACCTCTAATTTACAGTAAGTCAGACTTGATTATGTTTAACCTATATAAGTATTTCATCTCTTTAGACCAATAAAATATTAACTATTGCCGCCCAAAGCCAGAAAACACACCACACATAACACATAGACAATCCATTCTATACATACAGTAAAAACTTTTACAATGAAAATGACACAATGCTAAACAGATACAAATAAATGGAGACATTCCTTAATATGTCCAAGTGTCTACAGAAGAGATTACCTACGGAAATTCCAAGGCAATTTTGGCTGTAATTTAATAAACAACACTAGAATTTATATGGAACCAAGCAAAAGAGATGTGGGACAGCCAAACACTTCAAATGTAGGAAAGCTGGAAGATTCACTTTTTTTACACTGGAAAACATTTTACAAAGAACGAGCAACCAAGTGGGTGTGATCCTGCATTAACATAGACCCATACACCAATGGAACGAGGGGAATGCCCTCAAATAAACCCTGATGAAGCCTCCCCTGCATGCAACAGGAGCCTTCTCTGTGGCAGAGGATACAATCCACAGGGGCAAATGCAACCTCCAGAAATGATGTGGTAAAAGTGAGCTCCAACTTCCCGACATTCCTGTGGATTTCCTCCATAAAACTGATAATGGAATGAAACCCTCTCCGGTTAGTGATGTCTGTTTATCCACATCCCTCTCCATTCTCAGTGGTGAAGGTATTGAAGTCAGGGACTCAGACAGTTAGCTACAAATATTTATTATGAAAACACTCAGAAAGTTTTTCATGTGTGTTGGAAATTGACAATTGCAAAAGGTAATGTCAGGAGCTAATTTGCCTCCACCCTCTCCCAGGCCATGCAGGGAGATGTTGGTAGTGAGGCTGAAGCAACTCTGTAGGAACTGGACCTCAGTGAGGAGCGGGAGGTGGAGAGGGGCTTGAACCCAGTAACATAACTGCAATTGGAATTCATGTAAGCACTTTCATTAAACAAAAATTGCAATGGTCTGTGTGAGGATGAAGAAACAAAATTCTCCCTGGGTAGACAGGTAATTTCATACTGACACCAGCAGCCTTTCTTGCTCCCTTCCTCATTCCCCAGGGTGACCAAGACTCAACAGCATTGCGTTCCAGTCTTTCAGAGGGACACGAACCGGGATATGAGATTTGGATGACTAAGACATGTGAGCATTTAGGATAATAGCATTGCTTAAAAATAAACCTTTTAAAGAACATTGTGATAAACTGCTTTAGTAAGACAAATGTTGTGTCCAACACTTAACCTTAAATACTGTTTTTTCACTACACACCTTTTATTATTTCATGAAGCATTTTAATGTGACACCTATTCCAAAATTAAACACATCAAAATATTGCTGACTTAGCTCAGAAGGACATTGAGCTATCCTTTCTTTTTAAATATATCCTATTGATTTTTTAGACAGGGAGAGGGATAGAGAGTTAGAAACATTGATGGGAGAGAAACATTGATCAGCTGCTTCCTGCAAACCCCCTACTGGGGATGTGCCTAGGGCAACCAAGGTACATGCCCTTCACCGGAATCAAACCTGGGACCCTTCAGTCCGCAAGCCGGCGCTCTATCCACGGAGCCAAACCGGTTAGGGCGAGCTATCCTTTCTTGGAAATATTGTCCAAATGAAACTTCAAGCACATGTACACTGGTTATTCTATCTCCTTCTTTTATAAGAACCCCACTTCTAACAGATTAGTACCCCACTCTTGTGACCTCATATAACCTTAATGACCTCCTTAAGTACCCTATCTCCAAATAGACATATTGGGGGTTAGGGCTTCAAAGTATCCATTTTGAGGAGACACAATTCAGTCCTTAACACTCAGCATCTCAAGTTCATTATGTTATATAAACCACCCCAAAACTGATTCCCTTAATGCAATAATTCAGTATTACTTATGCGTCTATGGGTTGGCCAGGTGGTTCTGCTTCATATGGTATAGGAAGGCAAATGTTGGTACTGAGGTTGAAGCAACTGTGTAGGAACTGGGACCTTTAGTTTAGATCAACTTTTCCCTAAACCAATACATGATTTCCCATGCTTCCAGACTTCAATCCTAGTTCCTTCAATTCTAGTTCCCTCCCATGTACCTGTCCACTAACTCTCCTTCCAGCGTCTATTCACTAGCCAGTCCCAAGGCCATGTCACACACGTTAGGTTTTTATTATTGAGCACCTCAATCTTAGTCTCTTCTCTTTCAACTAGTCTTTTTAAAAAATATATATATTTTATTGATTTTAGAGAGGAAAAGAGAGGGGGAGAAACATCAATGATGAGAATCATTGATTGGCTGCCTCCTGCACGCCCCCCACTGGGGAACGAGCCCGCAACCCAGGCATGTGCCCCTTGACTTACGAGTGTCCCGACTAACGAGTTTTTTTGAGATACTAGCCATCTCTCGGCCGATTTTTTGCTTTGAGTTGCAAGCTCAAAAAAATTTGGGTTACGAGCCAGCTTCAGATACCCCACCACTAGTTGGCGCAGCGAACAACGTCACAGTGATTTGACATACGAGTAATTTGAGTTATGAGCTCCATTACAGAACGAATTAAACTCCTAAGTCAAGGCCCCACTGTATGTGCAAGACATTTATTGGTTGCCTCTCGAACATCCCCTGAGCAGACCAGGAATCACACTCCCAATCTGGGTCTTTGTGCACTATGAACCAAACCTGCAACTTTTAAAAAAATATATATATGTATTTTATTGATATTTTTACAGAGAAGAAGGGAGAGGGATAGAGAGTTAGAAACATCAATGAGAGAGAAACATTGATCAGCTGCCTCCTGCACACCCTCTACTGGGGATGTGCCCACAACCAAGGTACATGCCCCTGACTGGAATAGAACCTGGGACCTTTCAGTCTGCAGGCCAACGCTCTATCCACTGAGCCAAACCAGTTAGGGCAAACCTGCAACTTTTTAAATTTTTATTGATTCAGAGGAAAGGAGAGGGAGAGAGAGACAGAAACATCAATGATGAGAGAGACTAGTTGATCATCCCCAACTGAGGATCATGGCCGCAACCTGGGCATGTGCCCTTGGCTGGGATTGAACCCAGGACCCTTCAGTCTGCAGGCCGATATTCTATCCACTGAGCCAAATCGCCTAGGGCACGAGCATGAATTTTCTTATGGCGAGTAAGTTTTCTCGACTCCCTGAAGTCTTTGCCGCATTCATTACATTTAAAAGGCTTCTCTCCAGTATGAATTCTCTGATGGTTTATACAGCCCGAGTAATGCCAAAAGGCTTTGCCACATTCATTACATTTATAAGGTTTCTCTCCTGTATGAACTCTCTGATGTTTATTAAAGGTTGAGGACTGACTAAAGGCTTTGCCACATTCGTTACATTTATAAGGCTTCTCTCCAGTATGAACTCTCTGATGTTCAGTAAGGGTTGAGGCCTTACTTAAAACTTTGCCACATTCTCTACATTTATAAGGCCACTCTTCAGTATGAACTCTCTGATGAGAAGTAAGGGATGAAGAGTAGCTAAACGCTTTGTCACATTCTCTACATTTATAAGGCTTATGTCCAGTATGAACTCTCTCATGTCGCTTAAGGCCTGAGGTCTCACTGAACGCTCTCCCACATTCTCTACATTTATGAGGCTTCTCTCCAGTATGAACTCTCTGATGCTTAATAAGGCCTGAGGAGCATCCAAAGGCTTTGCCACATTCCCTACATTTATAAGGCTTCTCTCCAGTGTGAACTCTCTGATGCAGAGTAAGTTGTGGGGATGACCCAAAGGATTTGCCACATTCTGCACATTTATAAGGCTTCTCTCCAGTATGAATACGCTGGTGACGATTACGGTGTGAGGAGTGATTAAAGGCTTTGCCACATACTTTACATTTGTAAGTCTTCTCTCCAGTATGAAATTTCTGATTTAGAGTACAACCTGAAGGCCAATTAGATGTTTTACTAGAACCTTTACATTCATAAGGTTCTTCTCCACTATGGATTTCTTTCAGTTTACTTGGATTGAATATTTGACTGGAGATTCTACCACAGGCATTCCCTTTGTAAGCCTCCTCCCCAGCATGAATACCCTCTTGTTTGATGTAACTTGAAGATTCCTGAAAAGATTCCTCACATTTACTTTCTTTGAGTATCATCTCCACAATAGGAATAACTTGATGTATATTATGATTGGACATTTGGTCAAAGAGTTTTTCACTTTCATAATGATCCTCTGCAAGCTCACTTCTCCAATGATTATTATGATATGGCTCTTGCTTAACGGTTTTCCAATATGCGTTCCATTGATAACTTCTGTCTTCAGTATATGTACCCTGGTGATAACGAGAGATAGAAAGGCTTTCAGTGACAGCAATAATTTAATTAAACGTGTAAACTTGTTTTATAAGAACCATTTTGTGATACTCATTAAACCAAGATGGTTGTGTAAAAAAAGCATCCCCAATCTATAAAAATTATAAACAAAAAATAAAATGTTTAATTGTCAGAGGAATAATAATTAATCCTTGTTTAAAAGATTGCCAAAATGCCTGGAATGCGTGGCTAAGTGTTTGAGTGAAGATGTATAAACAAGGAGGTTAGGGATAGAGTCCTGGTCAGGACACATGCTTGAGTTGTGGGCTGGAACCCCAGTGAGGGGTGTGCAGGAGGCAGCGAATCAATGATTCTCAACATTGAGATTCTTCTCATTCTCCCTTCCTCTCTGAAATAAAAAATGTATTAAAAAAATAAAAATATATTGTAATTGAGCACATTTAAATTGCATAAGTACATTATAAATCTCAAAATTTTAGAAAGGATTGACTAAACAATTCCACCACACACTTTAAACAATTAAATGATTATTCATAACACAGACTGAGTTTCTAGTTTTTTTCAGATTTCCTTTCCAAGGATACACAACAGTAAAAAGTCGTTTTCTACTTTCACCTGCAGAAACACACTGATCTGCCAATGTAACTGACTTTAAAGTGGCAGGTTTCTCAAATGCATAATACCCTTGACCTCTTTTGGTAACAATAATTTTATTATTAATAATGATTACAGGTTAGTTCTATTTATATTAATACTAGAGGCCCGGTGCACAAAATTCGTGCATTCGGGGGGGGGGGTCCTCTCAGCCTGGCCTGTGCCCTCTCGCAGTCCGGAGCCCTCGGGGGATGTCCAACTCCCACGGCAGAGGTGGGAGAGGCTCCTGCCACTGCCACTGTGCTCGCCAGCCATGAGCCTGGCTTCTGGCTGAGTGGCGCTCCCCATGTGAGAGCGTTCTGACCACCAGGGGGCAGCTCCTATGTTGAGTGTCTGCCCCCCGGTGGTCAGTGCATGTCATAGCGAGCAGTTGAGCAGCTTTAGCATATCAATAGCATATTTTGCTTTGATTGGTTAAACAGATGCCTAGACAACCAGATAATTAGCAAATCAGGCTTTTATTATATAGGACCACTGTGGGGTGGGGGTTCCCTCAGCCCAGCCTGCCCCTCTCACAGTCCGGGAGCCCTCAGTGGATGTCCTACTGATGGCCACAGTCTGGCAGCAGAGGCTCAGAGCAGGTGTCCCGTGTGTGTGTGTGTGTGTGTGTGTGTGTGTGTGTGTCTCCCCACTGGGGGTCTGCCCCCAGCCACATTGGAGTCTCAGAGCAGGCACTGTGTGTGTGTGTGTGTATGTGTCAGCTGGGGGCCTGCT